TCACAAATTCATTCAATCTCACTCAACTTTAAACCTTATTTATTAGCTATTTACAACACATAAATAGATATTCTTAATACATACACTACCAAATAACATGTAAACACAATATGAATATAATCAACATAAGTATACTACTTACCTAACTCACTCACTAACTATATACATACTCAATAAATATACATCATACTCACCTAACGTATATACAATACAGCTACCCATAATGATAAATATATCAAATAAATACACTTAGCATATAGCATATATAGTAAATGAAACCCACCTAAACTTACCAAAATATATATATTATATATATATATTAAACATCTAAACTATTAATATACACTGTTATATAATATATAATAAGATATATATATGCATATAAATATATACACACAATATCTATCTATTTATCTAAATATACATACATATAGAAATACATATATATTAATTTCCTTCTATATAACTACTTGCTACTGTCTGCTGACTGTCCTCACTTACTGAAAAAAGTTGTGCCCATTGAGACTGAGGAAGAAGGAGGAAAAGAAAGAGTAGATATATAATATATATATATATATATAATATAATATAATTATATATATAATATATATATATATATATATATCTTACTCTTTCTTTTCCTCCTTCTTCCTCAGTCTCAATGGGCACAACTTTATTCAGTAAGTGAGGACAGTCAGCAGACAGTAGCAAGTAGTTATATAGAAGGAAATGCACATGTATTGCATGGAAAAAATATATAGTAATATAAACCTTTTTTTGGTAATGTTTCAATGCCAATGTCCAAATTGTATATCCAAATAATCTCATACTCCAATCCATGAAAATCATATGTAGCATGAATGGTAAACAAACACAATGTTTCTGCTTCTGTTGTACAGTGAAAACGGGTGTACCAGGCATGAGTGCAGGCAATTGTACATATAAAAGCACACACGTGCACTCACACATATATTTAAACTTGAATGAAATACTGGACATATATTTATATTCATAGAACTGCAGTCCAAGAGAATCTGATAATATATCATTTCATTCAAAATTTCAAGATTTTCTTGAGGATGAAAATACTGAGTTCAATGCCTTAAAAGCATGTTTACACCTGACCTTGGATGTATATGTTTATACCAACTGCCTAATCAGCTCATTAGCACTATTTTCACACTGAAGCTTATACATTTTACTTTAGGAATACCAAGTATATAATTCAGACACATGATTACCTCAAGACTCCAGGCTTTTAAAATAAAATCAATATATATAATTGCAATATTATAGCACCTTTAACACAAAAAACATAATAGAAAGGAAAATTATTTTCTTTAACATATGCAAATATGCCAATATTGAAAATTAAAAATTCAACATAAGCATTCAACAATAATTACACATTAAAATATAAAGACTGCATTTACCTCTTCTTGTTGCTTCATAACAGACAGGCAGTGGGTTAGGCTGGAAGTCATATTTCGCGCTGTCCCAGAGAGCAAGGAGAACCTCTGGAATAATTATTAACTTTTATAAATTAAACCTCACTCTTTTTTCTCTTTCTCCTTTCACTTCCCCTTTTCTCCCTTATGTGCCCTCCATTATTCTCCTTTATTTTTCTCCCACTTTATCCCTTTTCTGCTCTATGCCTATTACCATCTTTCTCATTTCCATTCTCTCCTACTCTGTCCCCCTTTTCCTTCTTTCCCTCTCTGAATTTTGCTCCAATTAGTACAGTTTTTCTTAACATATTTTGAGTCACGGATCCTTTATGAATATGATGAAAACTAGGGACCCCCATCCCCAGAAATATTCACATAAACACAACTTTGCATGCAATATATTGAAGTAAACAATTCAAAATGACACACTGATATAATTGCTAATTTTCATTTGATCCTTACAGACCCCCTGAAACCCATCAAAGGACCCCCAATGGTCCATGAACCCCAAGTTAAAAACCCCTAAATTAATGGTATTTACTCTACTTGGATTAGCTAAAATAAAAGGGACTGACACATCTTGCATCATATGATTCCATCATGACTGATGATGATTAATGATTGATGACTGATGAATGATGATGATGATGACAAATGATGATGATGATGATGATGATGAAGATGATGATTTCTTCATATATGCTGTGGTGACTACTACCAGCAGTAGTACTTGGTGTGATTCTTGTTTAAGCCATGATACTATTTTCCATTTTCTTTTTAAGGTGATGACTCTGGCATGTCTTCTACCTCTGCCTCTGGTTGTGTTCCCATTACATAATCTTCTAATATTTTTCTACGTCATAAACAAAATGAAATATGAGATGGTTGAACATTTCAGGGATAACACTTAATTGATATTGTATATTCCAAAATACAGACCAATGAAAACCAAACAGATCTGAAAATAATAAACTTATCAGCCAAACAGGAATGTAATGCCCTTGTGCCAAATGTAAGCAGCAGAAATGCCACATATGCCATTTATATATGAAGCTGGACACTTAAAAACTATAAAGATACAAAAGAGGACAAATATTAATCATGTATTGCATAAATTGTCAGTTAATAAACATTCATAGAATGAGTCTGTACAATGGGAAATATTGTATTTTGAGATCTTAGCATCCTTGCTAATTAAAAACACCTGCATGCCAGTGATTACTTCCAATATTGCTGGTCATTTTATGAACTTTCATACTTGACTTGGATATTTTTCTGACCCATTACACTTTTTGTGGAAATTTGTACTTATTTAGTTATGGAAATGATTCTATCTAGATTGTATAGGCTTCTTTCTGGTAGAGAAATTCACATAAAAATATAGATCTGTAAATATAAGCAGAACTGTAAATCTACAACAATTTTCTGTTCCACTGAACTATGATTACCCTTGTTTTAAATGACAAAGCAGCTTTTGGAGTTAATGTAACCAGACTATGTAACAATATATCAAAAGGTCTATTTTCTATTTGTTTTAATTTTCTAGAGAGAAAAAAAAATAAACAAATAAATTAAACAATAAAAAAATAATATACATATAAAGATCTAACCTTCAATCATCATGCCTAACTGGTTACTTACCTGTGTATGAAAGCAAATACATGCAATGCTAAGCTTAAGAACTAATGGGAATAATTCAAATCTATTCTCAGGCAGATGATCTACAAACCTATTTGGTTAATATTTTCCCCTAAACATTTCCCCAACAAAAAACACCAATAATCTTACAAGTAACAAATAGAAAATATAAAACAAAATAATTAAGAGCATCAAACAATATGATTCTTGGTCTTGCACTCGGATATTTTTCTTTTGCTTATAAACTCATTGCTGCTCATTGTTACAAAAAAAAAAAAATCTGTCTCTGATGTGCTAATGCAAGCAAATCACAATGCCTGTACTGTTTGTACAGTGGTTAGAATGGGATTAGTGACCAATCAGTGACTGACAATGACCGATGATGTTACCAATCAAAATTGCCAGAGAAATTTTAAAACTACCATTGCACCACAATTGCATGCCAGCAGAGGGGTGAAAACAATTGAGGAATGCAATATAGCAGCAATTTACAGGAGCAGAACATGCGGCAGCAAAGAAATAAGAGTATATTCACATTCAATAAGAGGGCAGGATGATATAAAAAAACATGAAGTGGTTTTCTCTACAGGCTGATGGTTTCTTGAGTTATAGTGATAGATTGTAAATTGGAGAATAAAGGAAAACCAAACATAATTACAAAAAAAAAAAAAAAAAAAAAAAAAAAAAAAAAAATATATATATATATATATATATATATATATATATATATATATATATATATATATATATATATATATATATTATATATTTTTTTTTTCTTCTTTTTTTTCTCTCTCTCTCTCCATATTAGTAAATCTAATATCTAAGTATCAGGAAATACTCCATTCTTTTTACATTTGCAGATATTGTTTCTTACACAAAGATATCATAACTTAATTTGTGTGTCATAAAATAAACAGCCACAAAAAGCGACAACCGCAAACATGTGGGAACCCCCTAGATGGGCATCTTTTTGTAAGCTCCAGCTCCTTTACAATGTGAGAAACTCACAAAAAAATTATACACCTCCATATGCTAACAATTAACTTTCCCACAAAAACTGAAATGAGAAAAAAAGTAAAAATATAAAACTTTACATTAGGTTGCTCACAATTATTATTGGGGAGAAGTTTTTAAACTTTCTTTAATTGTTTCAAATAAAATGACTTTATTTGAAATTGATTAAAAACCCATTGCATTGAGACACTTAAAATTATCATATAATGAGTATCAGAGACATTTCCACAACAACATATTAACAAAACTGCAATGTAATTTTTTTTTCTCATATTGCTGACATATCTCACAGTCAATGACCTTACATGGGCTTAAGTTGCTCAGGGACATCAGATCAGTTTATTATCTTCAATTTACAATTCTTTCATATATTAATGAAATCTAAAACTAAAAAGTAGCATCACAGTTTACAGTTTGGACATCCAATCCATCTTACCTTAATGACATCATGCACACCACCCTGTTGTGAGTGATCTAAGTCAAGTGAGGCTAAGGTTGCCATGACTTCCTCCACTTGTTGTTCTAGAAGCTGCTGTTGTGCTGATGCTGTCTGTAGAGCATCCTTAAAACAAAGAATAAATATGCTAGAATATCTATAATTACCAAAGAGAACATTAAGAGTTTCTATATGGTCAGTACCAACTATCCTACGAACCATTTGAAAGATCCTGGTAACTTACATGGGAAGTCTGCAATGATTGGAATTCTTCCTGGGCTGTACTGCCCAGCTTTGTGTGGTCATGCGTGACTGTTGGTGTGACGAACCAAGCATTCAGAGTTCATCCGTAATTTGGGATGAAATAGTGATGTGTAGAACCATATCACCAGAAAAACTAATACTAGTAGAAAATAATCGTTCATTTGCGAAAAGAGGATGACTGATGAAAACCATACATGTAAATGATTGAAATGACAAATCAATTCACCCAAAATTTTTATCATAATTTATATCAATATGATATATATACAAATATATATATATATATAATGCCAGTAGTCTCAGTAACTAAGGGACATGATTAAAAAAGAGGAAAGGGCACAGATGACCACACAAAGCAGGACAGAACAGGCCAGGAAGAAATCCGATCATCTCACACTTAACCATGTAAATTATAATGATCTTTCAATTCTTCCATGGCTGCCTGCCCAGCAGCGTGACATCATGCACAACTATTTGTAGCCTCATCGCCAACATAAATTAACATACTGATTAGGAAATCTAAAGATAGCATATAAAAATATATAATCACTGACTTACTGCATATGAATTTAGGATTGTTTGTCCAAATACTTCCACAGGTAAAATGGTCTTACTGTAATGTTTGGTAAAAGTGGATTCACATCATCCAATCGCCTTCCTGATACTTTCCCTGACCATTCCTGCTTTAAACACATGGATGCTGACCATACAGAATATGTGTTAAATAAAGCCACACAAGCCAATTCTCTCTTTGTGAGTGTGGCCTTAGGTGTAGGTCCAAAACATTTCCTAGTTGTCAATAACAATTCTACCTGGTTTGATTTGGATTCACTGTTTATTTGTTAACTGCAAGAAAGTTCTAATGGTTCAGCAATGTATAATTTTTTGTCCAATGGAAATGCAGTCAAACTTACTTCCTGTAAGTGATGTCTGATATTCATTAAAAAAAAAAAAATCTCCATTTTTTTAAAATAAAATCCTTTTGAGAAAGCAACATGTTCCTCATGTCTAACAAATCAATGGTTTGAAACCTTTGTCCTTATCAAATCTGAGGTAAAGTTGCTACTTTCTTGGATAAGGTTGATAGTGACACACTGTAAATGTTTTTCCAAAATTTGAAATCAAATCAGGATCCCATGTGGTATCATATATAGGCAATTTTGAATGTTGTTTAGGTGATGACCTCATAAACAAACAAACTACCTCATTTTAACCAGCATTCCATTAATTCTTGCAACTGTAGAAATATCTGATCTGGCTGTATTGAGGCTACTGTAACTAAATCCTGAATTTTTCTGCCTTTCTGTCAGAGAATGAATTGAGCAAATGATCCAATAGTTTGTTTAATAGCTAATGGTTGAAACAAACAAATGTGTAAGACATCTAAAGTCATATGGGACTATGGTAAAGTATTGTGGTGAAAAGGGTAAATGAGTTAATGATTAGTATAAAAAGTGCGAAATGTCAAAGGTTATAGTGTTAAAGGATAGTATGATAGGGAAAAGGATAAATAGGGGGTGCAAATGATGTAAAATTGACATTAATAAAGGAAAGGGTTAAGGGTATAGGGTAATTGGATAGAATGGGGTGTATCTGTTGTTGGGGAAGCTATAGTAACATTGCTTTATAAAGGCAAAAATGGATCAATCTTTTCTTGTAAACACAACTTATTCCATATTTTGAAATGCCTCTCATATGTTACAAGTGTTTTCTTATTCCAGGCTTTAAAAAGAAGGTTTGTATCTCTGTTTGAAAGACCTGACCTTTTAAAAGCCTCACTGACAGAGGTCATATTGCCAATTGCAGGTTCCTGATTGGATGGATTTGAGGCATGTACACAGAATTCGTAGAGTTTTCTTCAGCTTGCTCAGAGCCTCTGCACACCAAAGTTAAGTTTGCCACTTTGGAAGTATTAGTAATGTTGATCCTTCTCCTCCTTAAAATTTTGAATGTATTTTATGACCTTAAATGGAGGAAAAGCAAAAAGAATGAAGTCCTTATTCCACCTAATTGAAAATGCACCAGTGCCTAGTGCCTCAGGGTCTGGCTTCCAAAATAAAAAAGGGGCAGTTGAGTGTTAACTCGAGTTGCAAAAAGTTCAATAGAGGGATCTCCATAAAGTCTGTAAAAGTCACTAAATATGGCAGGTATTAATCTCCACTCCTTATTCTAGTCTCTTACACATGAAGCCAAATCTGCAGTGTTCAAAGAACCTTGTATGTATTAAGCAGATAAATCTATTTCCCGCTCATTAGCCCAATCAAAAATCTCTTTCATCACACTTAATAGATGTTTGTCAACACTTCCATAATTGTTACTGTTGGCTATAACTATTAAACTATCCAATTTGATTCAAACATGTTTCTGTTTTACATCCTGTAAAACAGCCTCAAGACCAAAAAGAATGTCTTTTCAATTCAAAATATTAATGTGGTCTTTCTCATATTCAACCCAGTGACTACCAGTAATTTTGTGATTTGTGCAGGGCCTCCAATCAGACATTGATGAATCTGTGGAGATGAATATATCTGGATATGATGCATTTAGTGATTTAATACAAGAGTGATGTTAAATGTATGAAACAAATAAATGTGCTAGACATCAAAGGTCATATGGCACTATGGTAAAGTATTGTGTCATAGAGTAAAGAGGAGATGAAATTAGGATAAAATGTCTTAGATGTCAAAGAAAGGGCATGCTATAGGAGAGTATGGTAGTTTTAAGTCAATAGACACAATATAACAATTCTACATTCTCATTAAGATGTTTGAGATTAAGTATGATCCTGACACTTTCATTTTTTTTTTCGTCAAGGAAAATATTTGAGTAAAAATCTGACACAATATTTCCCACTTTCTTGACAACATGCCCATGAATAAATTTGTCCATGGCCATATCTAAGGCTTGCTTGTCATTATTAGAAAAATGAAATAATTTAGGAATACATTTCTAATATGGGAAGTGATTAAAAGAAAATAAATTCTTTCCTTTGTCTTTTATCAATGGATCACTTGATAATTCTTCCCAATGCTGAAAATCTTTCCAACCTGAAAATTCTCAAGTGTATTAACCAACTTTAAATAACTTTGGCCAGGTACCAACTTAAAACTTGATAAATTATAATCATAATAAGCACACTTCTGAGATATACCACTTTGTATATTAGTGACCTCAATCTCTGCCGCTGCCTCTAACTCGGTAGGTTCCTCTGTCCCTGTTATTACTGACATCCCTACCTCCTCTCCCAAAATTGTTGTTTCTCATCACTTTAAATCTCTTGGGGTTGCTTCTGTTAGTCTTTAAACTGTTTAATCATATAAACAATATTTGTTTCAAACAACTTATCACCAGGCATGTTCTTGTCTTTAACTGTCTTTTGAAGTGTCTTTGCTTCAAGTTAATCAGTGTTGAGATCTCTCCTCATGAGATTTAAATAACTGAAAACTGGGAACAACATGCAAAAGCTGTCATTAATGTTCCTATAGGAATCAATTATAAAAAGGTCATGTGAATTAGCATAATCATTCACAAATCTAATTAATGGAATGAGTGCCTTACCAAATATAATTTTGTCTGAACTAGCTTGCCCTCCATCCTATGACTTTGATGGTCAAAAGTTGAAAGAGCTTTAGTATATGATTCTGAAACTCCAACTCCTTAACATTTGATGTGACAGTCTATTGTTCTGCCTGAGCTCTAGCTTTCTTATCATCGGGAACAATACATAAATAAGAACTAATGTCTTTGGCTAAATCTTCTGTAACCTCAGAACCACTTGCTTCATCTACCTCAAAAGCGGCTCTAAATTTATGACCAACTGTCCTATGTTGGTAAAGTTTACAAAGCACAACCAGCCCCACAGCCACCTTACGGAAAATACCTAGAAACTAAGAAACCAGCCCCGGTACCATCTGCTTGTCCTTGCACACGACGCAATTACACTCCCAGCCTATTTTGTAGAGCATGTAATGTAACTATCACCAATTCTAAATCCTTTGAGTCCACAAAATGGGCCAGTGTGCAGAACAAGATATCTCAGAAATCCACCATGTGGTTGGTCTAAACAAACAACAACGCTATCGGATGGACAAACACTCGAAACACACACTAATTACTGAATGTTCGGATCATCACACCATCAGTCATGCATGATGTCATGCTGCTGGGCAAGCAGCCATGGAAGAATCTTAATTTTCTTGTTTATATTAGCCCCATGAGACAATATAAATTAATGTCATCCCCAGGTTTCAATTCTGTACACTTCAAAATGCAATACTTTCACATATCAATTTACTTTCTACACAAAATTCCATCTTTAATTGATATGATGCTACTTACTGACATACATCCTAAAGGTTTTATGGTTCTATCAATGTCATCATCATCATCATCATCATCCACTCCAAGACCATGTTGAACATAGTGAGTTGAGAACCTGATGTGTTCACTCAGGGCTGTCACCCATTTCTGGAATGAACAAGAAAAAGTCTTATGTATGAGATTCTACAACCGACAATTAGAAATCAATTTAGCAGTTATCCATCAATAAGACCTTTTGATTTGTAATTTTCCTCAAGGGGACCGTCCCGGGGGTTGAAAATTTTACGGTCAAATTGAGTTAGCTAGCATATTGTATAGGTATTTGAATGAGGAAACTACTAAATGACTATCAAAGTCCAGCTATGGTTAGTTCTTGGCCAGTGCACGCAAGACCCGCTAAACATGTGGGGAGGTAAACCACTAATGTGCACCCGGGTAAACCTATGTGGACTTTTCCTTGTTGCAATCGTGCATACAGCATTTGATAATGACACTTCACATAGATATTTAGTTTGTGAATGTTTAATGAACACTTTTATACCAATATGAGAAAAATTTATATCACAGTGATTTATGACAAAATATTTTATGAAATATATCTAAAAATAGATGTAAGTTTTGTGTACTTTTACACACAAAGTATGCTTCCATCGAGACTCCCTAGTAATATGTTGAAGCTTACGAAGGAATCTGTATGTGTACCGAGTACGAAGCACTAATATTAGAAAATAGCCATAAAAATAATAATTAAAATATTTCCATTAGACTTTGTTCAACGGTCAGTATTGTACAGCATCGGTAAATTTGATTTGATCTGAAATTGGTTGTTTCCGCAGTAAAGAGCATTTCAATATGAAAAGCACCTAAAAGTCAGATT